GGATTCCTTCTCACAACCCTTTCTTGGTCAAGGCTTGTTTATATACAAGGGGCAAAAATGTATACATGTTAACTCCGGTGAAAAGGAAGATTTTATTGGAAGGACAGGGGAAGGATGCCTGAGACCAGGGGGTGTGTACAAGAGACTCTTCCATGGCACCCACAGATATCAGAAGCCAAGGAAATACCCCCTCTGTGGTTTCTCTATTTCTCCTTCCTCTACCAGCTCAGCTCATGGGATCCCAGAATGCCAAAACCAACCTTAAGGGATTTTTTTTTTCACAGTTCATATTCTCAGGCGAGAACATGATTGGCTAACTTACACCAAGCACACAGTCCTGGACCAATCCCCTGCGGCTGGGACTGAGGCTTCTCGAAGGTGTGATAGGACTGACTGACTGTGGTCAATTCACTAAGGGCTGTGTACAAACACACAGACTGTGGGTCTGTAAGGATAGGGTCTCCCTACCGAGGAGACCAGGCAGAGTTGTAAGGAACTTACACTTCTGAAGATCTCTGCAGACTGTGGCGTACCATAGGAGAGAAAGTATTTAGGCCCAAGGGGTCTTGAGCCAATGGGGGTGTGTAGGAGGGTTATCATTGATAATGGAACACGTGGGGGTAAAAAGAGGTCAGGGCATGAGTAGGCTAATATATGCCATGATGGGATGAAGGTGGAGAGGAGAACATCATTTCTTCTTTCACTCATTTAATGAGCCCCGGAAACCCATACTGTCAGGGACTGCCAGGTGATAGAGACCCAGTAGAGGAGAAGACATGGCTTGTGTACTCCATAGTCTTAGGTACCAGGCTGTCTTAGAGTCTCTACTGCTGTGAAGAGGCACCATGACCATGGCAACTCATAGGAAGTTTAATTGGGATTAGCTTACAGTTCAGAGGTTTAGTCCATTATCACCATGGTGGGAACCATGGAGGCTTACAGGCAGACATGGTGCTGGAGAAGGAACCAGGAGTTCTGCATCTGGATTGACAGATGGCAGGAAGAGAGAGAAAATGGTAGGTAGGCTTAGCTTGAGCATCTGAAACCCCAGTGACACCCTTCCTCCAACAAGGCCACGCCTACTCTAACAAGGCCACTCCTCCTAATAATGCCACTCCCTGTGAACCAACCCATGGGGGCCGTTTTATTCGAATCACCACACAGGCCGTGCCTGGGTCATCTGACAGTCATCATAGGGTATGCTATCAGAGAGATGTCGTGAGGTCACAGGAAGTGAATGAACAGAAGCACCAGGGAAGGTCAAGGGGAGCGAAGCTGGAAGGATGTAGAGACGGATGATGTCAGAGTGAGTGTTGGCCATTGTGAAAGAATCTCCCAGTGAGCTTTCCATGATGGGGGTACAGAGAATTGTGTGGAATGGTGGTGAAGAAATGACAGATAAGTCTGGGGACTGTTGGAGAGCTAAAAATTCGTGGGTTTGTCCTAAAGACACTGGGAGGCAACATTGACAGAGTGTGTCACTCTGCACTTGTCTTCCAACTCTTGATCCTCCTGTCTCAGCCTCTTCAAGTGCTGGGATTACTGGCATATACCACCGCATCTGGCTTCTTAAAAGATTTCAACAGGAATTTGTCTTCTAGAAAGATCATTGACAAAAAAGAAGTACAGGTGGGATGAGGGGGTTGGAGGTAAGGAGGTCAAGAGAGAATGTCTGTCTAGCACACCCTTCCCAGTGCTGGGGTCAAACCCAGGACCTTAGGGATGCGAGGCAAGCTCTCCACCTGACCCACCCCTCAGCCCCAAGGTCTCTGCAATGGAAGGGAGACAGTTGTGTGGTTCTTCTATCCAATAGAAACATCCCAAGCTCCAGCCCCATGATTTTATTAGCAGTAAAAATTACTGGACACCGGTCGGGGAGCCTTTGGGTGGCGGTGTCTGCAAATTGTAGGGAACTCCCATGACACAGCTTTCCCGAGTCCTCACCCATGCTGGGATGAGTTTTTCAGTGATTTCACTGTCCTTGGGTCACCCATGCATTTGCAAGTCTATTGACCCACTAAGCTAGAGCAGAGAGGCATTATTGCTTTGGTCCGCAACTGGTGCCGCATCTAGGGTGAATAGGCATCTGTTTAAATCTCCCCAGGAAAAGTCACACACAGAGGCATCACTTCCTGAAGAGCAATGTTTCAACAACCTTCCTAGGGCACTTAGCTAAAAACCCCGATTACAGGGCTCTGTACATCAGAAATCAATTTGGTCTGTGACAAAAGCCCATGGATCTGTATTTGAAAATGTGCTGAAGTCAAAATCTTTCCCAGGCTGCTCTTTAAGAAACTTCATCTGAGGAGTAGGAAGGCAGGGGGGTGGAATCAGGAAGATCCTTGGAAACATGCTGCTGGCTCCCACCTTGAAACCAAAGAGCGTTTCATGGCCCTCGTGGATTTTCCCAGCAGTGGTTCTAATTGGTTTGCTATTATCATTTCACATATATATCATGCCACACTCTCGACCTCCAGCAGCTGTTGCTTGTAACTGGGAAATAAGAGATGGCAGGATGGGACTGTAATAGCTTCCCCTTCTTGTCGCCTTTTTTTTGTGCTTTGTCAGTAGCCCTGCTGTGGTGGGGACAGTGGAGGGGACATTAAACTTTATCGAAGACTTTGTGCAATGTCACAGACACTGTGGAATTCTGTCTTCCCTCTTTAGAAGCTGTGTGACATGGGATGACACCCTTCACTTCTCTGTACCTCGATCTCAGAGCTAATTAGGACTTCCTTCAGAGCATTGAAATGAGGGTTCATTTTTATTACACTGCTGTGAATTCATGATCCTATGTAATTACGCTTATCCCCCTCTCTCTCTTCTATATCTCTCCTCTCCTCTTCTCTCTCTCTCTCTCTCTCTCTCTCTCTCTCTCTCTCCCCTGTCTCTTGTGTGTGTGTGTTTGTGTGAGTGTGCATACATGTGCACATGCACACTCTCATGTGCATGCACAAGCCACAGGCCAGCCTCAGCTGTTACAAACTCCCTGATTTTTTTCGAGGCAGAGTCTCTCACTGACCTGGGGGTTGCCAAGTAGGCTAATCTGCCTGACCAGCTCCAAGACCCCTCCTGTTTCTGCCTCCTCAGTGCTGAGATTACAAATCTGGGTCATCCCTCTTGGCTTTTTGTTCTTTAAATTTGTGTTCTGGGGATTGAACTTAAGTTCTCAGGCTTGTATGGTAGACTCTTTGTCCATGGAGTATTCTCTCCAGTCCCATTCGTTGTTGTCGTTGTCATCATCATCATCATCATCATCATCATCATCATCATCATCATAGTCCTCACCATGGACTATCCCATTGTTAGCTCGTGAATGCCACCTCAGTTTGGTCCTCTAGTCTTTTGCAAAGGTCTCTAACATCTCCACAGCTTTTCCATACTTAGGTCTGGGAACATTCTCAGACTCTTCTTATGTATTCTCTGCTCAAATACATAAGTCTAGTCTATTTTCCCCCGAAGGACCAGAGATTTCTTTTTACAGGACACTGGTCTGTGCGACTGCAGTCTGAATGCTGGCAGAGTTCATGGCTTTCAGGTTTAGATATTGGGTCTAGGCACCCTTTTTCTTGTGGTGCTGGGAATAAAACCCAGGACCCCATGCATGCCTGGCAAACACTGCCAGGGAGCTGCCTCCCAGCTTCAGATATCACCTGAAAGCATTTAGAGAGGCTGGTAAAGACATAAATATGCCTTTTAAAAAAGGGAGATGCATCCTGAATTCATACCAGTATTTCACATTCGAACTGGGGATGGTGTAGCTCTTCTTTAAGTTTCTATTTCTAAGTCATACAAATGGAAAGGCTTGGCTCCTGATGGCAAGACATAAGAAATGTATTTACTTTAAGAGCCAAAAAATGCCCCATCTTTTGGACTTCTAATAAAGGTGTGCTTACTAACACTATGATTAGTTGAAATATTACTTAAAAATACTTTAATAGTATGACTTGGGTTTTTACTCTGTGCTAAGTATGGCACATTCACCCTCTTGGTTAACCTGTGACCAGGCCAGGAAGTATAGGGCGGTCATTGTTCCCATTCTAACTGATGAGAAAATGGAGGCTCAAGAACTCAGAAAGCCACGAAGGAGACATCTGGAGCCCTGGCCCTGTGACCCCATTGCTCTCCACTGCCTCTTTGCTTTGGGGAACTGTTAACATCTGCCGTCCAACTGTGGGTGATGCCTGCTGTGCAGTAGTCCTGAAGATGCCTGGACACTCACTGTTTGGAAAAGAGCAGAGAACCAAGAACTAAGTGTTATTGGTAGCATAGGAGAAGTCTTGAGATGTCAGCTTCTGCCTCCCAAGGGACACACTGTTATTTCTGTTTTCTTAGCTAATGGTCCAGGGGTGGAACATTTCTTATCTGCTGCCGGGTTACTTGAAGTCAGGGGAGTGGTAAGGAACCTTGAGGGACGATGCCACCAGGCACAAGACTGAGCCTCCTGGAGTTTTTGTAGGGTCAATGGCTCCTGGCTTTTAATCATTAGCTCCTGCAATTTCCCCAGCATGGTCTTTGCTTTGTACTTTGTCTGGTTCAAGTCCTAGCCGGCTTCCGTCTCCCCTTGCTTCCTCCTCTGCTTATTGCCACATGCTCTGCTCTTCCGCAGTGTGAAGAAGTTTCTGGTTACAGCGGGTTACATGGTGATTTCCTCAAATTAGCAGTCACTCAGAAACCTCAGAAGGTGACTTCCTTCCAAAATTATGACAAAAATCCACTTTAAATGAAGTTACACTACACCGGAGTTGGCCCAATGGCTGGTGTCCTTACAGGAAAGCCTCGTGGTGACACTTGTACTAGTGTACACAGACCTGCCATGTACACACCAAGACCGGGACAACACAGGTATACATCAAGGAATGTCAAAGATTAGAAAAAAAAAATACCAGGAGCAAAGAAGAGGCCAGCAAGGTTCTGCTGGCTCTGTGACGGTAGACTTCCGGCTTCTGGAACTTTGAGAGAATGGGTTTCTGTGGTGACTCTGACCAGCAAACAGAGTCCTGAACTGGGAGAGTAGACACAGGATTGGGGGAGGATCTTAAGGGACAGAATCATCCTGAATCATCCTGATGAAGGCAGGCACTGAGAGTGTAAGCCCCTCAAGACACACTAGTGGACAGATCCCTCCCCTGAGGACCTACAACTGTCAGGTTCCACCCACAGAACACTCTGCCCTAACTACAGGTCCCAGTCCCTCTTACCCCCCAGCCCTGATCCCCTACAGAGTAAAAAGCCCAAGCTCTAGACTTGAAATCCCACCAATCTCCACCCTGGAAAGAGTCACCCTGAAAATCGCCCCTTCAAGAAACTCTACATAAACCCTGCCTTTTCAGTTCCCTTCTGTTTCTCACCCGAGCAGAGGCCACCACATTTCTGCCTTTTTTTCCCCCCTCATGATAAATCTCTTGTGTGAGGTTTGTTGTGTGGTGTAGCTTTGTGGTATTCTTTGGCTCCCAGTTGCTAGGATACCTTCCCGTCGGCACTGTAACTCTGACAGAGAGAACACGTGGCAAAGACATCCTAGGCAGGCAGAGCAGCCCAAGCTAAGGCCAGGAGAGGAGCCAACAGCTTTGGCGTCCAGAGGAGCTGTGTATGGGACAACTTTCCAGCATGGTGCAGGACCTGTGTGACATGAGGTATGGCCAGATCAGAATCTCCAAGGCCACATGAGGTACTTCAAAGGTTCGTGTCTGTACCAGGTGACCATGTTAAGTGTGTAAGCAAGAAGAGGTGGTGGTGACCAAGGGTTGCTTTCCACGCCCCAGGGTTCTGTGATCTTCCTGCTGTCATTTGGCTCAGTGTCTGGAGAAGGCATGAGACATCCTCTTTGGGTGTGTGACTTGCTTTTGGGCCACGCTGGGCCCACCTTGCACCAAGGTGAGGGTGGTGTCAATGGAGGAAATGCCTCCCCCCACCCTCCCTCCTACATTTGGCAGACCTCAGCTTAGCTGCATTAGGCACACTTGGTCTTCTAGCCTTCTGGGGCACCCAACCTTTGTCATTTCAGGTTTTGCGTTCATTTTCCTAACCAAGAAAGCCAAAGCAGGGCCTCTCTGCCTCTGCCCATCTGCAGCCTAGGCTCCTTCCTGCAAGGGAATGTAGACATGGGTATATAGAAATGGTCTCCTTCCGCGTCTGCTTTGTTAGTCCCGTAACTTTACTGGAGATGTTCAGGAGGGTCCAAGGACTCCTGAGTGGACCTGTGAGGGATGACACCGAGGGCGGAGGGCTGGCCCAGCCTGCTGACTGGTGGCCTGGCCCTCTGTCCATCACATGAAGCTTGGCTCCCCCCCCCCACCTGTTCCCTCTTTTCTCTCCTGTTCTTGAAGAGCCCACCACCACCCCTCAGCAAACGTAATGCGGTATTGGGCAGGGGAAAAAGAGGACCTGAGGTTTTCATAGCAGGTCAAGGGTGCTTGTTGAGCAAACCCCGTAGCTCATCCTTATCACAGCTGACTGGGTCTGCTTCCCCGCTATGCCAGTTTCTAGTTGTGACCTTGGTCAGCCATGGTCTTCTCTGTGCCTCAGTTTCCTAGTCTGTCCAATGGGGGCAAGCATTCACCGTGACAGTTACATAAGAGGATGCCTGCTGAGCTCTTGCGTACTCTAATTGCCAAATCAGTGTTGATTAGCTTTCCTAAGGGTGGCTGCTTTTATTTATAGGAGTGGAGACTAGAGGGATTCACAGGCTGAGCTAAGCCTGGATCCTGCTTTGATGATTGCTCAGTGTCATCAGCGGCCTCATTGAACCATTGGAGCCTCAGCCTCTTCATCTTTAAAATGGAAGAGGTAGCCACTCCTCTCCAAGTGTGTAGAATGACTTGAGACCATGTTTGTAAATGGCTTGTCACTGAGCTCTGTGTATGCTCTGCTTTTGTTCATATATGCAGGTGCATGTATATATGTGTGCACGTGCACATGCATGTGAAGGTCAGAGGGCAACCTTGGGTGTCATTTTTCAGGGACTGTTCACCATTTTTGTTGTTGTTTTGAGGCAACAAAGTCTCTCCCTGGCCTGAAACTTGGCAAGTCAGCTGAGCTGGCTGGCCAGTAAGCCCCGAGATGGTGAACAAAGCTTTCAGAATGTCCTGGGCCCTGATTGAGTCTATAATTCTCCTTCCTGCTGGGAACAAACAGCCAAACCATCATGTGTGAGGCTTTTGATGGGTTCCAGGCAGTGTAACCCATGAGTTAGGTTCTGTCAATTCCACTTGACAGGAAGACCAAAATAGGTTCAGAAAGCCAAAGTCACCTGGCCAAAGTGACTCTGTTTGTGTGTGGTGTATTACTTACACCTCCCCACCAGCATGAGTCCAGTGGTCTGGGCAAGTAGAATAGCAAAGCTGTCCTTGTGGTTCAAGGCTCCAAAGGCACCTGGGGGCAGCTGGACCATGGGAACCTAAGCTAGAGTGATAGATAGGTCTCGACAGTGCCTGCTGCAGCGTACACAGTGAGATACAGACCAGGTCAGGTCCGGCTATCAAGTCACCACCCCCTGCCTTTTTCCAAAGCCAATCTTGTCAACTTGATCTTCTGCCCTGGACTCCAGCTGTCCTGAGGATGTTCCTCTGGCCCATGTATTATGCAGACCTAACAAAATGTGTGCTGCAGAGATGAAAACCTTCTTCCTGGAAATCCTCCCTGGTGCAATACACACATTGGGTGATTTTCTTCCTCCTTCTTTGCAACATTTTGTTGTTGTTGTTGACAATCCTGCACAGCATTTTTTTTGACACAGCAGGGACCCAATAACTCTGTTATGATTCCATCAATAATCCTGTTGTGAGTCCTTCATTAGTGTTGTCTCTCAGCAGAGTGGCTTGGCTATACAGCCAGAGCTGTGGCGGCTTCCTGCGTGCCACAGCCCCTCTCCACCTCTGGCTCTTACGATCTTCTTCTCCCCTTTTCTGCGATGCTCCCTTGGTCTTATGGAGAAGGGGTGTGATACAGATCTACCAACTGCGGCTGAGCTTGCCACACTCACTTCTTCTCTGTACTCTGGCCAGCTGGGAGTTGTAGCTGGAGTTTTCCTGTGTCCACCTGGCTCCTGCAGCCACTCAGACCCAAGTAAACACACCGAGACTTGTATTACTTACAAACTGTATGGCCATGGCAGGCTTCTTGCTATCTGTTCTTATATCTTAAATTAACCCATTTCTATAAATCTATACCTTGCCATGTGGCTCTTGGCTGACCAGTATCTTTACATCTTACTTCTCATGGTGGTGGCAGCTGACAGCAGCTCCTGACTCAGCCTTCCACTTCCCTCAGCATTCTCCTCTCTCCTTATCCAGTCTGTACTATACTTCCTGCCTGGCTACTGGCCAATCAGTGTTTTATTTATCAATCAATGAGAGCAATACATTCACAGCATACAGAAAGACATCCCCAGCAGGGAGTATCTATATTAACCACATCTATTGGAATAAGTTTCTCTCCAGGCAGTGGTGGTGCATGCCTTTAACTCCAGCATTTGGGAGGCAGAGGCAGGTGGATCTCTGTGAGTTTGAGGCCAGCCTGGTCTACAGAGTAGGTTCCAGGACTGCCATGCTACCCACGGAAACTCTGTCTTGAAAAATAATAATAATAAAAAAGTCTCTCTGAGAAGGTTGTGACCTGCACAAATCAATTGGTATAAGAGTAAATATTTAGATGCTACTTTGGTGCTATTTCCATTAGCAAAATGAAGAGCTATTCGTAGGTGATGACCGCTGGGGGATGTGGTCCCTGGTATGTTTCCCATGTTCCAGTGGATGGTTCTTTACACGTGAATATAAAGGCAGTGCTGATCGGGCTCAGTAGAGTTAGGAGGGATATGTGGCAATTGGGACACAGCTTGGCCATTAGGAATTGTCTGGGTCTAATAAATAATGCTTTGATAAAATGGCCCCACCCACAACAGAAAAAGAAAAGTGCTGAATTGTAGCATGTGCATGGCCACATAAATTCTCTTTATGAACTCACTGAGCAAGACCTTGGGTGCAGACAAGTCACAATGAGCTTTAAAGCTGATGGGAGCCTATTACAGCTCTTACCACTGGGTCCAGCGCCTGTGAATGTTGGAGGCAGATAATTATGGATGGTCTGGGTTTGGGTCCTAACTGTGCCTAATTCTTAGTAACTGTGTGAAGTTGGTCAATTTACTGACCCTCCAGGGGACAAGTTTTCTCATCTGTAAGTGGGGACACTAAGAGGATTTTGGTTGGGGGTTGTGGAGAGAGAGGAGATGAAGTATTGTTGAAGTGTTGGTGGCTTGGGCTGACACACAGAACACAGGAAGTAGCAGCTATACTGAAGCAGACTGGAAAGGCCCAGCATCAATCAAGACAGGTGTTGCTATAGTAACAGATAACCACTAGTTCACGGTGGCTTAACATAAAACTTTGTTAGTCCTGTGGTGTCACGAAGACCCGCTAACAAGGGTTAGGGTGGGGGCCTTTGCACATTGGGGTTTTGCAGGATGTTGATGTGTTTTCAGGATCACTGTAGCAGGAATAAATGAAGGAGAAGATACAGAATTGTGAGCTCTCTTCCAAAGCTTCAGCTAGCAGTGGCACATGTCACTCACATCCATATTTTATCAGCAGACACAACAAGCCAGGGAGATGTGGATGTTACAAAGTGTGAAAGAGTAATCCTGCCTTGTTCCTGAATCTCTAAGTAGATGGCCTTGTAGATAAAAACACATTCACCCTTCTCTCTAGTAGATTTTTTTTTTCAATAATAAACTATTGTCGACATTGAGCAGGGACAGTAGGTAATATTATCCCATGGGTCAACCCCTTTGTGTAGCATGAATCTTAAAGAGTCTTATTAATAAAATCAAACCTGAGGCCAGTTATTGGGGTGAACACTGGAAGATCAGAGAGACAGAACAAGCCACAGCTAACCTCACCTGGCCAACTTCTCAGCTGGTCTTGTTTCCTCAGACTGGATGCTTCTGTGTCCTCATCCGAATGGCTCTCAGCTGAACTGTGCTGCTAGAAAGCCTGAAAGCTTAACCAGCCAAATGCTTAACCAGCCAAATGCTGCTAGTTTCTGGTCCTCATGCCTTATATATCTTTCCTTTCTACCAGCATTCCCTGGGATTAAAGGCTCGCTTTTTGGGATTAAAGGCGTGAGTCACCATGCTTGGCTGTATCCTTGAACGGATGGATTTCTGCCTCTGGAATGCTAGGATTAAAGGCGTGTGCTACCACTGCCTAACTGAGTATCTAGTGGCTTTTCTGTTCTCTGACCCCAGATAAGTTTATTAGGGTACACAATATTTTGGGGAACACAATACCACCACACCTGTGTGTCTGTAGAGGCCCTGGAATCAGCCACCCAGGGCCCTGAGGTCTCAAAGAACATGAGCAAGGAGTGCATCTCTTTCCCACTGTTGTTGCTCAGAAGAGGACATTGGGTAAGCATGGTGTCCAGGCCAAGCTGTGCATGTCAAACAGATGTGGGAACAAGCCTGGAACCTGGGACACTCTCTCTGTGTCTTCAATCCCTGGTCCCTGACTTCAGATTCATGAGGCTTGCTGGTGAGTGTGGAGCAGGAGAGGGACATGCCATAGATCTTCAACAGTGCTGAGGAAGGGTCTGGCTATGTTGTGAAGGACACCTCTGTAAGAATCTTCAAAGGGGGGAGTTCAAAGCACAGGTTAGAAGTGCCAGGAGAAGGGACAGGTACTTTG